CTCATTGAGGGATTTATGGGATAAATAATTCAGCGATGTTGTTGTTTAGCTCTTCCCCAGAGACCTACTCGGCCGCATATGTAATATATATTTCTTGTGTTTCTATTGTACAGGCGAATCGCGGAACGGCGGTCGTGCAGGTATTTTAAAGTTAAGGAAAAGCTTGGGTCGTTTGTTACGATATAGCCTTAGGCGCCACTAGATTAGTTTTTTCAAGCTAGAGAGCCGTAACGTTCGTCGCCCTATTAGCGCGTAGATCGTAGCCTTCGAGACGTTAGAGCAGATCTCGTTACTCGAGCACTTTGACGCTGCTACGTTTTAACAATTATGCTAGCGTAATTATTCCCCGGATCACGCGCGATTCGGTTGGCCCGCTTGCGTTTATCATGCCGCATCATCTGTAAAAAGCAATTTGTGTCTCTCTCTCTACGAGATTCCATGTTCCACGCATTTTGGCGACGAGGCGAGATTCCCTGGAAATTCGTTATGAGACGTGCCGCGTCCTTGACGGAGGACTCGACATAGATCGTCGTAATGCACCTTATCAGCCTAATGCATATCCGCCCATATTAAATGCAGACGTGCAGAGGTATAATTAAAAGCTCTCGGTACATACGCAGAATAGCCTGTGTAGTGTAATCGCCTCATTCGCGCTAAGTGAATTCTATAGTAAAAAAAAAAAAGTGGGTAGTGCCAGGGTCGACCTTTGAAGTTATAGATCAGTGTTACTCAACTGTCGCAGTGTAAAGGCATATTTTTTTCCACGCCTTTTTACATGCCATGACACGGCGGAAGAAAGTTGCGAAGACACAATATTGATTTTGCTACTGCTAATTATAAGAAAAAAATTGAGAAACACTGAGCTGGATAATATAAAGCTAGAGAAAACTTTAAAGTTAGAAATGTTTCTCTACTTTGTGACCTTTGGTAAAAAATTCGTTTGTAATATCCTATATCTAGTCTAGTAGTTCGCAATCGCACACAGCATGAACAAGATATTTTAAGATGCATGAAACTAATTGTAAGAGATAGCTCGTATGTAACCAGATATTTCAGTTACCTCAGCATGTTTTTTATCTATATATTTACAGAGCCGTGCTGCGATGCATTTATAAGATATTTCATGTCCTCTTTTTCATATAGATCAAACGCGCGAATGTATGGAATAAAAATATTCGCTAATTTATTAATTTAATTTAATTTTTTTATCACGGAATATGTTATATATCGTTTATGTATGAGTTAATTAAGTTAAAAGTTACATTCCACATCTGGTTTTGATCTGGTTTACATCCGGTAAATATAAGCATAAATGCGTACTTGCATTTTTTTAAATGCCAATTGTACACACGGCTCTGTTTACGTTTTTCTCTTGCTTTCTGATATCTTCTTTGCATTGTTTTTTTTTTTTTTCGTAATCAATGATTTCCAAACTGTGTATTTTTTAGAATCTGAAAATCGAGCATGTATGCAATATGTAAGACGAAAAGTATTTTCAAACTAGATTACATATTTATTCTATAAATATAAAAAAATTTCCCATATTTATTTCTCATATCGCAAGAAAAGAGACGTATTAAAAAAGATAAACTCGACGCAATTTTTCCGAATGTTTGAAAAGCACCGACGAAAAGCTCCGATCGCCACAGTTGAGTGTGTATACACGCCGCGATCGATGGCGTGTCGAGGAAAAAAAAGCGAAGCCAGTTCTCTAATGCGTAACTTCTTCTTTCTTTTGTAGGTAAGTGTGTCGCGCACAAGCTCGCGGAGCTTTCGCACGCCGTCGGTAAGTCATGGCTTTTTCCCTTGAAAGCTCCCCGTCGCGGACGTGACCGCCGCTGTGCTGTCGTTTCCACACGCCGAGAAGGCTCACCATTCTAGCTACCAGCCGCGCCAGTCGGTACAATTGAGAACGCACGAGCCGCTCGAGTCGTGAACGGGTTACCGACGCGCCACCCGGTATATACATGTCGGTGCTGTGCCACTGTCGTACTACTCGCGCGCACTACTCAGGACTGTGACCTACCCCTCGCCTGTCCGTCTATGTCTGTCTGTCTGTCTGTCTGTGTGTCCGATACCGCTTCCGGCACCCTTAGAAATGTCCGATGTCGCGCGCAACCCTTTCCTTTCGTTAAGCACCGCCAGGTGGGTATGACAACTTCATTCACTGAAGCTTACACTCACCGTGCGTCCCGTGCGACGCACGATTATGCATTATGCAAATCCCGTCAGACTGATTACGTATCGACGAGTTAGACTATGGATCGGTAATGGCATTTCATACGTTACGCAAAGTCGCGGCCTCGACCTTTGGACAACAGCCCCGAGCAAATTTCACGCGGATTGTTTGATCTGAACGATCGCTAATTAGAATTACGTGACGATAAGCACTTATCTCTTGATCGATGTTAGGATACTTTCTCGATGAAATTACTGCACTTAGTTAAGTAAAGTAGTTTTATTTTATTACATTATTGTTAATTTGTCATCGTCATTGTCATCACATTTTTGTCGTCGTCGTCGTCGTCGTCGTCGTCGTCGTTATTATCGTCGTTGTTATTGCTGTTCTAGTCGTTATTATGTATGACGTTATTATTTAAAACGTATGTGATCTATTGGTAAATATTGATCTTTAGAAGTAACGCGAATCGTGTGTAGAGCCGAGTGATTGAGTAGCGAATCACCTTCAAAGTCAGGCTGTCTAATATAGGACTACTTTTCTACTTAAGTGAAAAAGTCAAACTATTTTTCGCCGATAAAAGCCTCTACACAAACTAAAATCTTAATTCACCGCAAAAATAGAACTTGTTAACTATAAAATATATTTTACATTGTCTTTAAAAGAAGGAAGATATATTTTTTTTTCTATGATTGTTTATGCATGATTCATTAAAATATGATGAGTATTATAAAAATAGATAAACTTTGTAATCGTAGTTCATAGATTCCCAAATAAAACATTTGAAACATTTGAGACATAAAAAATTATTTTTAAAGAATAAGAAAAAAGAGCCTATCCGTAAATGATTATGAAAGAAATGTTATTGAAAGAAATTTTAACGAAAGATTAAAGACAAAGAGCACGATAAAAGAACTTCCGACATTTTAGCAATTTTTAACAAATGAACTTTTGAATTTTGTTATATTATTTGTTATCATCACTGACGGCGGATGAAATGTGTTATAATAAGCTGAAAAAGACACACTTCATTCAGACCGGCATTTTAACGGACAGCGGCTCTTTACGGTCTGTCAACGTTGCCCTCACAAAGAGCGAGAAATGAATAGGGAGAAAGAAAAAAAAAACTCGATAACGAGTGGGCCACATTGCGAGAAGACAAAGCGACTGTGCAAAGTGAAATGTCAAGAGCGCGATACGTCTCCTCTCGCACGGGATTTTCTCAGCCATCGAGTTCTCTTTCGCTTTTTTACGAAAAAACGATCGGCGCAGCCGCCATCCGCGTCTTCCAAGAACAATCTGGTCAGGGATGAAACGCCTATGTCTATCACCGTTGCAGACGCAGCCGCGAGAACAATGAAGGAAGCGAAGGGACTCTCGCAAGTAATTTCATGTAATGTGTACCGCGATATACCTCGTTTGACACCTGCCGATACTTAACAATAGAAGACTCACAAAGGCCCGTAGTAACGCCTCGGAACTTTACCCCGCCGCGATATAAAGCGCATTGTGCACGATGCTCGATCATTGATTATACTGTTTTTCAATTTTTCTTAAACAATCGTCTCGGTTCTCTCTCGTGTTCACTGCAACCATATCATTCGTATGTGTTCATTATTTACGTGATGCATTATTATCCCGCCGAGAGAAAATATATTCTTGTCAAGTAGAATTTTACATTTATCTAAATCCGCGAATAATTCAAACAAAAAGAATCGTTTGCGTGAAGCTTTGGAGATAAGAGAAACGTAACTTAGAGAGACGGAGATGAAAGAGAAACAGCTTAATGAAGAAAGAATGTTACGGAATGAGATAGAAAGATCGAGTATTGCAAGAGGCATTTCGTTACATCGACGAGGAGGGAAGGCTACATGGAAGTAAGAAAAAGATTTACGGTGAAGTAGCTGAGAAATTACACTTGAGAGAGGCAGGCGAGGAAGGAAAGCCGCAGCTGGTGAAATAGAGGAATATTAAAATACTTCCGTGATTTGTCCTTCTAGTATAAATTCTATCTAATATAAATTAAATAATATTTAACCGAGATAAAAAATGGAATTTAAGAAAAGAACTTTTGCATATGTAAGTTATTGAGGGAGGACAATGATATAAATAATTTTTCGGAAAAAATTAATCTAAATACGTTTACGTACCGAAAGAATTTTTTATCGTCGTATTTTATGGTGAATTTTTACGATTGCGCGAAGAAAAGATTTAAAGACCGAGATTAGAGAACGGAGCTATGCACTATAATCGAAATAGGCCACGAGCGAAAATTTAGCGCAAGATAAAAATGTAGGGCTCTCGTTACCAATCTTGTGGAACGAGAGAGGATAAAGTCGAAGGGGGAAGCGGAAGGGAAGAATTGGAAGGAGTAAGAAAGAAAAGAAACTATCGTATATGCGGGTGCGAGGTGCGGGCGAGGGCGAGGGCGAGGGGTGCGGGTGCGGGTGCATGGACCTGCGCGCGAGCGACCGCCTGGAATTCGCAGCATTGGCTGCGCGAGGGCGCGTGGTGGATCGAGGGTGTCAGTCATAGGCCATCTGCTCAGCGGCGAGCACGTAAGTCCGTAGAGACGCACGGTGGTAATCGTTATCGTCAATGAATGGGAACGACTCGCTGCAATCGCACGCCTGCTCGCGCGTCGCGACGCGACGCGGCGCGACGCGGCGCGATGCGACGTGACGCGCCTCGCGGAGCGACCCGGTCGTAACGCGTCGACCGCGGCGCGACGACGCGAGCGGTTTCCGCTTCCGCGACGGACCGCGGCGGACCGCGGAGTTCGCCGGAGTCCGCCGGCGGTTTCCTGTGATTTCCTCAAAAAATGGCGGGTACCAGGCGCGAATGTACCAACGACGGCGCCAGCCCCGTCGACCCGCCTCGAGGACGATCGCGGGTTGCGATCGAGACGTCCGGACGTCGGCGACCGGCAACTCGTTTCCGCCGGACGAGCCGATCGCGTATCTTCGCCGAGTGGTCAGTGAGTTGTTTCGTGAGGAGCACGGTATCCATTCCCGTCTTTTCCCCTCTAATCCAAACCTACTCTTTCCTATCTACCCACGTTTGTCTTATTGCGCGCGTCTTTTAATTTTTCAGTTGTTGTCATTAAAATTGTCATTTTCAATGACAATTTAGTTTAGATAAAAAGCAATTTTTTCCAAGCAATATTTTCATAAGATATTTCGCTACTTGTCCTTTTTCTAAGCCACTCGTAATTCTTTTTCGTGTTTCTTCTCGGTGTAAGATTAATTTTGTTAATATTGATGTGATAATTTAAGCAAATAACATATATCCTCTTGAAAATATATTCAATTATTAATTAAACATTTTAAAGTTATGTTCCATATAAAAATACTATTCATGGTAACGCGAATCTGTTCGAAATTATAATTCTACATTTATCTCTCCCAGCAGTTTATAATGTTATTTTGAGAATTTCGAATTTTGTCGTGGAAATATTTCATGTAAATTGGAAACAATTTAATCTTTGTTAAACGATGTTATTATCGTTACATATAACGTTTAAGTAGTATAGTGCCATCAAACGAACAAGACACGCCCGCAAAATTTGCATGTACGATGCATTGTGGAATAGCCGGCTTATAAAGTATAGATGAAATTTAATTTGACGGGGGACTCTTAGAGAGAGAAATTCGCGATTCTCGTACAATATGAACATTTGAAATCTGTGAGGTAACACTTCCGTGAAATAGATCTTTTCCGTAACGAGTAATTTCTTGTCATCTTTTTCACAAAAATTACGTTGCGAATTTGAAAGAGAAAGTAGAAGCAAGACATACTGAGCGCAAACGTCACTTTTTTTAATCTTTTTTTTATCGTACAATTCCTTTTAATGTTTGCTCATAATTATTTATGAAACAGTTGTTATCTGGCCTGTTAATAAATTGCCAATCATTCATATCAAATAATTATATCTATTAATTATCTAAAAAGGAAGAAAAAAATTTATTAATTAGCCAAATTCGTTATTATTCTGGACACAGTCCAGATAATCAATAGGAAGAATTGGCCACGATATTTTGAGGTGCACGTATTTTAAATAAGATTGTAACTCGGTGGTTTTCTCTGAGAGAGAAACACGTGTCTCGTTATCATTCAGGTCCACAGTCGCTTGATTTTGGCTGGAATATGTCGATCTAATCAAGATTCTTCGCCGAATGAGTCTTGGAAAAGTTAACGAAAGTTTGAATTCTACGAAACATCTACAGTTTTTTGCTCGTTCAAGAATAACGACGATAAATTGGAATGTTTCCCACGTACCACATTAATACCACACACGAAAATGAAAAGCGGTTGCATTACCGTAATGAGAATAGTTTGCTATATATCGCGAGTACTTGCAATCGTTGTTTAAGTAAAAACTATGAAAATCCAAGGCCGACGGGAAATATGAAAGCGGCATTTAAGCCTTCGCGTTGTTAAAGAGCCGGAATTACATTAAACGGAATTACATTGCACACACGTCACATACACCGAAACGGTAATTAACTGAATTATATGCGACTGTATTTCGCGCGAAAATTCTGGAGATGCGATGGACAGTTAATGGAAAGTCCATCAATTATTATTTGTTATTGCGGTCATTAAATTCCTATACAAACAATTTTGCGGCGTGAGATGAATTCGAAATTTTATGCAAAATATTGCTTCTGGTCAACGCAAATTAAGTAAAATAATAACTGATAATATAATGCGAACATAAATTTAATTATATTTTCCACCCGACTACAAAATAAATACCTCTTGAATTGTATAATAACAAAGAGATGAATTGAACTATATACGTTAACGAATAAGATTAATCAAAGTAATGAAGAAAAGGCCTTTGTGAAAACTTTGATCTATACAAATTACATGAAAATATGCCTATGTTCAAGATATTTAACAATTTTTACTTTGAAAGACATTTTCCAATTTTTCATTTCATTTATTATTAAAAATATACAGTATAATTATATATTTTATATATTTTTATTGTGATCCAATATTTTAACAATCTAATAACCATATATTATATCATATATTTTATTTATTATAGTTTTAAATTTTGCTCGATTACTCAGAAACAATCACATTTACAACTGAGTATAGCGAACAGAAATTTTGCTGTTCGATATCGATGAACAGTTTATCAACGGTTGAATGCTCTTTTGTACTTCTCACAGTTCATTGATGCCATTGGAATTTCATAGATTTTTTTCTTTCTTTTTTAAACTGATACATTGCTTTTTTGCCTGTATCTCGATAATGAATGATAACATTCCCGTATGCCGCCGCAGAAAGAATTCCTGCTCTCGATGTGAACGCGAACGCGATAATGCGAATATTGTTTGTCGATTCGATTAATCAACTTGTGATACTCGACGTCACTGTGTGGTGAACGATAAATTTTATGTTGATCGTTTTCCACTTATCGAGCTAATAAATGGCGGAATAATGACTGAAAAAAGAAAGCGCGTTAACAGACATCATCTGCTCACAAAGGGAATGCCGAAACGGCATGGAATTTATGCGGTATGCTTTTCGGGAATTAACGAAAGCGACAAATAGCGAAATTCTGATTTCTGAGGATTCCCGCGGTTTCATTTAATACCCAATCGATCTCGCAAACATTCGCACATATTCGTGGAAAACTTATCAGCGTTTTCCACGTGCTGCAGGAAGAGAGATATCGCGATTTGACTTAAAATGCCTGAAATTCTTCTCGAACAACACGTGAATTTAGATCTCCCCAATTTAACAGGAACTGATAATAACTTTTGAAAAAATAAGTACTATTTGTCACTGCTATTAACTTATCGTGCTATCCTATAATAATTAATAATTTTATTAATTAATGCTAATAATTAATAATTTTAATACTACATTTAATACATATATTTAACAAAATCATTTAACATTAAATATTATATGATCTAAAGGAATTTCTAAATTCTAATTTATATTAACTGAACGCAATTTTTAAATATAAATGCTTATTGTTTCCAATTATGTATGTGGCACATAATAGTGCGATACAAAAATAGTGTAACAAAATTAAAATTTAAACAGAATACCTCCAAAGTCAGTAGATCTCGAAATGAAAAATTATTATATAAATTAAAAAAATTTTAATTCATTGAAAGATGTGACTAATAATATCTCATCGAGGATATTGAGAAGTAAGATAATAGCAGTGCAATTCGTAATCGCAAGTAAACGGTCAATGGCAGAAACGTTTTGCGGAACGGCCAACTCTCGTGCAGTTCGATATCGTAAGTAGGACGTGAACCTGGATAATTGTGCGCGCGCATTTACGTGCGCGCACGCACACACACACAAACACACACACACACACACACACACACACACACACACATTTCTGTTTTTCACTTGGGTGTTAGTTTCGTAAGGTGTTCCGGGAGTTATGGGACTCACGGGACCATCGGAGACGAGGTGATGCGTCGCTGATCGCGATATTAAATTGCAATCAGTGACGTCACGTGTCCCACCAGGTGCACCCAAGGGTCGCAATGGGCATGTAGTTTCTTTGTGGGATATTATCGGCAACAGGTGTAAATTTGGTACTCAGTGGACTTGTTCTACCATGTGACACCTGGTTTCCCGTTATAAAAAAAAAAATCAATTCGCTCGAGAGGGACTGGTACTATTAATATTATATGATAGCTAACCTTTGGAAACTTTCCATCTCTTAAATTTTTGTTCCGGCAATGCACTCTAATATTTTATATTTACGATAAAGTTTGGAAAACTAAATTCGATAGTAATCTCGTTACTATTACAATATGTTTCTATACTTACGATACTTGATGTAATAAGTAGCTACTTTTTACTTAAAAAACAAGCGACTGTTTGATCGATCTGTTTTAATAATAATAAAGTAATATATTTAATTATGATATGATATGATTTTGACTTTACTATAAATAATATTGTACAAAGTTTTGTTTGACGTGTTCTAAACAAAATTTTTTATCTTTCTCAAAATTCTGACTTAGCTACACGAAAAGATTCAGGTTTTCACCGAAAAATTATATCAAAATTGCAAAATCGCATCGTGATATCGCAACGCGGAAAGCCCGGGGGCAAGGACAGAGTGGCGCGATGCGGGAGGAGAGGGGGTTAGATTTAGGTACAGAGGTCGGAGGTCAGAGATCGGAGGTCGAAGGACGCGGAATGATGGTCGTAGGATACCGGGGGCCGAGGAGGCGGGGCGGGAAGAAGGGAGCTGCAGCCTGGGAATGATCAATACTCGTACACCAAGTTCCCACGAGAGTAGCGAAGATGGGTCGAGGAGTACGAGAAATTGAACGTTTTCGATTTGCAAGAGTGACGCGACGCTCATTCGCAACGTGTGGGAAAGGGGAATCGTATAAAATGATTTCTTGTCTATTGATGCTTAGCATTGGCGTCTTCGCGTCGGGTCTCCAATGGGCTCTTTCTCTCTCTCTCTCGCTCTCTCTCTCTCTCTCTCGGTAGAATTTCTCCTTATTTTTGGATAACAACCGTGTAATACCATCTAAAAAAACTCGCATACTTGACATATCATGGCAATGAATGAAATTCGATTACAGCCCGATTTGAAACCCGGATTTTCAATCCGGAATTCATCCGCACGTCCGAGCGCGGATACACTATTTCAGCATTTTGTTACATGCTCGGCTCTCTCTAGATTATTTCGATGTATCTGACAACGATCACTCGTTTCGCTAACTTTATACAAGCGAAACAATAAGCCTGATCCTATAAATTGAATTAGCTTTGAAAATTTGTTATCTTGATTTCAATCGGATTTCAATATAATAAAAGTTCCGTTTTACCGATATCATGCACGGTGCAAATTTCACTTTGTTCACTAAATGACGTATTTGTCGCTAAACTTAGAATTGATTTTTTCTTTTTAATAGCACAAATTTAATGAGACGTCATTATTCGTTAAAATTTTTAAGAGTGGATATCCCGGCAACTCAGTTTCCAATGCAAAATTGGCGAACAAAGTTTCAAGGACGTAGATCGAGGTAGTTGGAGAACAAAAAAAATCTCCCTTTCAGTTTATTTGAAATGAAATTTACTTCAACAGAAATATAATTTTAAATGTAATTGCGCTCTTAGAGAGACAGTTTATACTGACAATTTCAAAGTTTCGTGGAAAGGATCGACTTTAAATTCAAAGAACGTACCATTAAATGGAGAGATTGTGGATTTAAGACGCTTTGTATCTCGAATCTATTTTTCTCGTATATGCAAAATGCATTTCCGCATAGACCAGGAGATTAGATTTGCCGTTTCGCGAATTATTTCCACGGCGCAAAATGCATCGCGCGGTCTTCTCTCTCCGGGAAGGAAACTTTAAACGTTTGCTTCGTAGTTTCCTTTCCTGAAAAGTCAGGCGCGGAATATTTAGCCGATATCCGTATAAACGGCTTCGTCGAACGGATCAACGACGGAGAGAGTTTTCTCGATGTCGCTCGCGCGAAATGCATGCTGCAAGGCGACGCGTGCATCGTCGACGTCGCGACGTCGTGCCGTCCGATAACGCGCCCTGAAATATTAACGACACGGGGTTGCACGTGGGCTCTCAAGGTTTTCTTTCTCTCTTCCCTCTAGAGTAGAGAAACGCACGAGTGCGAGCGGAACGGCGACAACGCAACGGCGAGGTGCGAGCTGCCAAGCGGAGTAACACCGATTTCACGATACGTCGGACGAGCACGGAATTTCGCGGCGTGCACTTTCGTCGCGGCGTGAGTGAGTTTCGCGAGTTTCGCGAGAATGCTGGCAATAATGTGTTCGCGGGACATTCGATTCGAGGATCTAACGCGCGTTTGGAACGCGCGCGAACGCGGAGAGACACAATGTGTGTACGGAGTGACAATCGAGAAATTGCGGAACTAAATTGCTGTACTACTTCGTAATGAGCGGAATGAAATGAACTGAATATCACTTCGCGGAGGAAACCGGATAGTTTTTGTGCTAGAAAAAGTGCCAGAAAAAAATTAACAAAATAATAATATTATTTAATCTCCGCAAATGTCCGATTATTATTTTGCATTACCAAAATTACTGTTTCTGTTAAGGTTCCAAAATTCCGTTTCGAAGTAGACTGAGAGAAACATTTTTTGCTCTCCAACTTTTTAAGCTTGTCCTTGGAACTTTATTCGCCGATGTTGCATTTGAAACTGAGTTAGTTGTCGAGATATTTATTCTAAAAAGTTTTAACATACGACGTCTCAATATCTCGTATCTCGTATTTATATGCTAAAATTCCTGATGAACTTTGACACTTCATCTTATTCTAACTCCTTCTCGACTTTGAAATTTTTGTTTCACGTTTGACCTCTTTTATTTCGTCTGTAAGAAACATGTTTCCTGAATTCTGATAGATTATTTTGTTGAGAATTGTGAGGTAGACAGTTTAATTGCCGATCAGTTTGATATCCGCACTATCCTTACTTCGTGCTGAAAATATGAATTCCCTTCAACACTCCGCTCTCCATCGATTTATCGACTTCCGGTCGGCTCCTCCTCGGGGAAACGAGTCGCTAATGCGAGTTGCTAACGCGATTGATTATGCGAGTCTCGCGTGTAAAATGTAGATCCCGTGTGCGAAAACAGGCCACGAACCCACCCTCCCCTTTCTTTCTCTCTTTCTAGATTGATGATCGTAATTAGGATAATCGTCGCCAGATCGACGCGCGAAGGCGTGCGTCACCGTTCGCGATCGTAATCGCCGGATCGCGCCAGAAAGCGCCAGAAACCTGTGCCGGTATATTCGTCATCTCGCGTGCGGAACGTAAGCCGAGCCGAGAGCGGAATACGAACGACAGTGTCGAGCCGAGGGCTCGCGTAATCATTACGTCACGGCGGGGCAAATGTTCCCGATGAGCTTTCGTGAGCTCCCGCCACCCCCGAGCAGCACCCCCGAGAAAAATCGTCGCCGTCGCCGGCAGGAGTACGACGCCGCCGGCCTCGTCGCCGTCGTCGGTCCGTTTCCGGTGCTACCGGATATTCCCGATCGGGGATCCGTCACTGTCGCGATGAAGTGAGGAGCCGCATCCCGGCTACCGTCGACACGACAATACATTTCGTTACAACCGTTCGCTATGCATCCAAGCGTTCGAAACATAATCGATAGTGTTCATTGTGTTCCTCGCGCGCGTTGTCCCAGGTCAAGCGGTGTCTGAAACGAAAGACAAGCGGAAGCGGGGAAATCTCTCCGCCGAGGGAGTAGGGAAAAAGCGTTAAAGGGAATAGATCGGGGTCGAGAGACAAGGCTTCGCGACACGGCGACTCTGACGACGACGAGAACGAGAATGGGAGCGATGATGACGATGACGGTACAACGACGAGGCGGTAGTTAAATGGGTAACGATAAGGGTAAACGCGATAAAACGAATAGTGTGATCACGACGACGCGACGTTATAGCGTCGGTAGCTTTCGCATAAATTATCGTACGTATATATATATATATATATATATATACGCAGATAAATACACTCGAGCGCACAAGTACACACAAGGCGATAAACGAGCGATGTACACTTAAATATTGTGATACGCATACGTAACCATAAGCGCGCGCACGCGAGCGTGTCGATCGAGAAGCAATAAGAGCAATAAAAACAAAAACAAAAAAAAAAAAAAGAGAGATATTATCGTGTTATATCGTTGTTGAATCGGTGATTTCCCGTCACCCTGTGTTCGTAAGAGCTCGTTAGTCGCTAAAAGCCGACCGACGAGATTACGCTTATTTCACCCGGGACCGTCGAAAAAGAGAGTACGCCAAGACGACAAGATGGCGTTCGCCGCGGCGAGGATGATCCTGAAGGACAAGCGCAGGAAAGCTAGCAAAGAGGACTTCGCACCGCGAAACAGAAGCAAGGTAAAATCGTAAACGATTCTATGTATATCAGATAGACTCTGTTTCATCTCACTCACATGCGTCGCGCTCTATAATCGAGCGGCCTGACATTCATCACGGACGCGCGTACCGCGTCCGCGAAGGGTGGTTCTTGAGGGAGCCTCGAAGTAAGATTCTTATTTTGCATACGTCACGTAGAACGTATCGAAGGGAAAAACGATTTAACTCGCATCACCCCGAGAGCCCCGAGTAATCTGGGCGTCACACCATCCCTCGTCGGTCATTTCTCATTTCGAAGGAAGCACCCGGACGGCTGGATTACCTCTGGGAAGAGGGAGGGAGGGAGGGAGGGAGGGAAGGGGGTGGGGATGCGAGAAAAAGAATGTCAAACGGGCGTTGGCACGCCGAACTAAAATGTCATTAACGCGCACCTTTGTCGTGAAGTCATTAGGCTGTTAGTTGAAGTTATACGCTTGACTTTCTCACGACGGCGGCAGATCCTTTAAATAGCAAACGACGTGAGGGAAAAACGACGCCGGGGAAATGCATAATAATGCCAGCGGCGCGATGCCTGGTATCGCACGCGAGACCCTAAGTAAAACGAGTCGTTTTTATTACGGTAATTAATTTCGCGGAACGATCGTCGCGAAGATACAAACGACGACGGAAACTTATCGCGTCTTTACTTCGTCGGTGGCATGCCCGAGCACGCACTGAACACTTTTCTGATACACGGGGTTGATTGAATTATTGCGTAATTTTCCAGATAAAAACCGATAACCGAGGATAATGAATGCACCGCAGTCTTTAATTTCCAAGAAGAAGATTATACGTCGTTGTTTAACGATCGTGCATAAAAAGAGACTCGTTTTCTCCATATAACATTTCAATTACTGTCAATATTTGGAAAAACAGACCGCGTATAATGTTTAATGCTACTTTTATGTTGTTAAAAAGTGAATGTGATTTGTAGAAAGAGAAAGAGATGTTACTCTAAATTACTTCATTAATTCTTCTTCTTCTTCTTCTTCTTCTTTTTTTACCGATGTAATTGATGAAGTAAATGCATATACTACTGAAATAGTTTAAGAAAATAATTGGCGATTTAAAGCCAGTAATTGACATCGTCTCTGCAAGAATTTTGAAAATGTATTTAACAGTTTCATTGATGAAATGACATAGGTATAGGAATCTTTTCGTCTAGATTGCTAAATTCATTTCCAGAACGAAGTAAGATCTCGACGAAGAAAACCGAAAAAATAGAAATACATAAGCTCCAATACTCCGATCCTTCATCTTTGCGTAAAACAAATAGTTGCTGACGCTGTCCGCATGAATTTATTACAAGGGAAAGACATAAATATACATAATTCATAGTTCGCATGTATTGTGATTAATAATACGAAGGAGAAGAAAAGAATTTTCGGACGACGATAGTGCAACGATATCGATCAAGGTTTCATACGTACAATACACGCATATTCCTCTGAATTCCATCAAAATTGCATAACTTGTTCTGTCAACATTCGAGACATTTTTCCAATAACGCGCTCGTTCACGTTTCCATTATTTCATGCGGCATCTGCATATTATCACCGAAATTTTCTGAAGTTTGATATGATTCTGAAGTTTGATATTTCATTTGTCAATTTGTCTCAGAGTATTGTTACACCGCAAGTTTTCAGGTAAAAGAGAAATTGCTCATTCCATATTCATACTTTCTATTATAGTTCGTAGTGTTCTTTATCAATGCATAAACGTTGCGTTTCAGAAAAAATTGAATAAGAGTTTTGCATTTTAAGAGTATTAATTATTTTCTTGTTTTATTTTACTTTCTTTTCTTTGTCTTAATTTTCATTAAGCGAGAGAATTCAATTTAGTTTGCAATGCATTACTACTAATAATAATCTCTTAGCTCATCCATCTTAAGTCAACAAATCTTGTGTCTCCTTGGAATATTCTAATTTAATCGAAAAATATATATTTTATATGCATACGTAAAATAAAAATTTCAGCTCTAATAGCTCTCAAATTAAAAGAAAATTTGTGTCATTCATTACAATTCGTAGCAGCGGAATTATAATGCAAAGAAGTTTATGTTAAAGTATAAAAAAAAAATAGAAATAAATTTAAATTATAGCAAGTTTTAAATATATAATTATAAATATTTCAAGAAATAATTAATAGCAAGTATGATAATTATGATTTCAAACAATAAACAAAATAATGAAAAGTGACTCACTCCAAATCTCTTTCTCTTCTTCTTCATTGTTTTTTCATGATATTATACAACATTCGTATTCGCGAACATGCAGTTAATTACAATCGCGCATTAATTACTAGGGCAGGACAGTTACTCAGCATTTTACACGACATTCTCGACGTTAATTATAAATGTCGGTAGAATGAAGAATTTTATAGTGACGAAAGAGTAACACGGAAAAGTTACGATTGTATGAAAACTATACTCACAAATTTTTGATGAATCTGGCGAATTTTTGTATTTTGAAATATCACCGATGTATAAAAAATTTAAATAATGCAAAATCGCCATATATAAACATTTATTCTACGCGGTTGATAAATATTAAAATAAAGGATGCGATTATAATTATTAAAATCTAAATCGAATTATTTCGTATCATAATGTTTCATTATGCGACATTCGAAAAATTTGAGAATAAAGTGAATTTTATTTTATCCTAATATTGTGCCATACGATATTCAATTAGTAAAATCGAGTTAATACCTTATTAGGATGCGACGGACCATTCGAAAATATAGAATCAATCAGAATTCAGCACACGCAATGCAATAAATCGTACGGAATGCATATATTGTTTATAAATGATCAATATACGATTTCGCATTATTTAAATCACTCGATTTTGTGATTCATATATATATTACTCCGAAAGATAAGCAAATTTTATATAATTAATCAGAAAATTCAGTGCACATTTAACATTCACACACAATTGACGCATTGTTAAGGGAGATAATTATTGTACGTGTAATTTTTATATAAATATCCAGAAATCATAACTAATTTTTATTAATATATGTGCCTGCAATTTTTGCGATTTTGATCTCTATTTTACATCGCGCGAGATATCTGTAATTCCAAAAAATAGTTGCCTCGACACGCCTTTACAATTTTTTTAATCGCAAAAGTTAATTAGTCACGCGAGATCGCAATCATTAATCGTTCCTGCAGAATGATAGAGTTTTTCTTCTGGCAATTATCGCGCAATTCCAGTTTGTAGGAGATAGTGCATAATTGCCAAACACTCATGTTCGCTGTTTACTGACACGTGCGTTGCAACGCGAATGACAGCAAACGACGATTTTGTGTAAACATCGACAACAAAAATCAAAAAAAGAAAGGAAATAAATACCGATTGCCGCGTGCCGCGTGCCAGATAAATCATTGTTGTTACATTGTTGAAATACATAATGTTCTATGGATGGAAATAAAAATGCTAAATTATCTCTTAAATTTCGCCTCAGTTTTCGATTCAGTACGTTTTAAATCTAATATCTGGATATACAAACTATTGTTTTTTTTTTTTTTTTTTGCAAATTTTTGTATGTGATAAAAATTTTAATAAATCATATATTTTACGTGTAATTAAGAAAATAAAGTTACATAGCCGCGGGCTATGTATCAAGTTAAGGACATAAAAATATTGCAGATAAATAAAAACATTTCTATTTTGCGTAGACACATGTATGTGTATGTATGTATGTGCTTTAAAATGGCTAGACTGGGACAGATTACTACATTAATATTTCATCCCAAAATACGCGTGATTACTGTTGATTTATTATGTATATGAATATGCACATATCCATACGAGATAAAGAATATTTTTATAGATGAAATAAACTCTTTCGACAAAGAGTGATATAAATAATGATAGAATAATTTTCAGACGTATATCTGAAAATATAATTATCTTTCATCTCTTTTTGCCAAACATATTCTATATAAAGGTAAAATTTTCACGCAATTGCGAACATTGTAAGGACATGGTATATGCATATTAATAATATTATTTCAATATTATTATTAATATTATTATTTAATTCAACAGATACGTTGTAATTGACCGAATATTTCAGTGAATAATGAAAGATTAGATAAAAATAACAATAAAGTTATAATAAATAAAACAATATAACAATCAGAATATGAAACCTTTTATTTAACATTTATTTTTAAATATCCATATTTCGTATGTAAAATTAAATTTGGAATAAAAACTGTTTACTCACGTGCTATATATTTTTATAAATAAAAATAAAAAATAATATCCTAATAGAAAAATAATTTGTATGTTTATTTTTTTTCTCCAAATTCTAAGGCAAATCTAAGAAACTCTTCTACGATGGAAAATCGTAAAACAAGTACAAGATAGGTCTTGCGGCATTCAGTTGAAATTGAAATGACGAAATAACACCATCGTAGAGACAACGTAAAGTAGGTGCCACGTTAACAAGCAGTCGGTCTCGATGTAAACGGTCAGGCCGGGTGTGTCAGAAAGGAAACAGTTCCGTCGAAACACAAAAGCGAGATTCGATCGATGCGTCGCACTTCGCTCGGTAAACCCGTCACGACTCGCTGACGTGACAGCTTTCCGATTTGGTAGTTCCCCCTTTTTTTTTTTCTCGCAAATATAAATGGGGACGAAGGCGAATCATCAATTAAGTTAAGCGTAACTTTAGAAAAAGCTTTGTCCAATGATAAACGTATCAAATAGTAGCGATGTTGCGATGTTTTTCACGAATTGCAATTACGCTTGTATTTGTATACTCTCATGCGGACAGCGTACGTATTAATTCTAAATGATACAAGTGAAATATGAATGTTTTCCTACTTTTCAAACTATAAGCTATAACTTTTGTTATTCCACGCTTCAGAGCGTTGGCGATTAAAGTTAAATCTTTAAATAAAACGTTGCAAAATTTTTTCTTTCTTTCGGTATACGTATGACGCTCATTAGATTTATTTCTCGTATAAAATTTTATACGACTTGATAACGAACGAAGATAGATGTATTTTTTTAAATATATTTGCAAAATTATCAGAGTTATAAATAACAATCCAGGACTTATCCTCCTGGAAAGGATCAAGTCTGATGCACGTGATCTGTGAATTGACAGTCCGGTGCCTCAACCCGAGCACGAAATTGAGTTCTTGACGGATGCTAATCGTACACGCGAGTGATCACTCGTGAGAGATTATGCGATAATCACATCCTGGTAACTCACGCTACGCTGTCATAACTTTTAAATGTGCGACACTGCTAATGCGCTATATATTTCCGACATGTCAAAGAATATAAGACACTGTTTTAATGTACTACTTTTTTTTTTAGCCGAAAGTCTTTGAACACGTCGTACATATACCTGTGGCCTCGCTAGTTAAAGAATAATATAAACTTTTAAACAGTTATTTTTAAATAATATAATTTCAAGAAATTTAAATAAAGGAATGTTGATGAAAGGAAACAATTGATTGAGTTTTATTAAATAATGTAATATGGAGTTTTTTGACATTTTCAAAATGTGCAAGTATGACATGAAACGATATGAAATTCGTTCAATGATCGACAAATCGTAATTCGATCATAATTATTATTTACATTTTTTATTATTATTCGTATATATCGTTTACAGAATATATCTTTCATTTTATTTGAGAAGTTGCCCAACTTTTTCGAATTCTCTTTCGGTTTCAATTGTTCCGTGATGGACGGCTTCGACGTCATTAAAAAATCGTTTCGATGCCAGAGTGTCAGTTGCAGATATCAGTTTGAACTTTTCCGTTCTTCCAGCTTTAAACAGATTTTTGAATCACGCAAAATACGTATACAAAGACTTTCCTTGCAGCACGCGTTATTCACATATCAAGCGCGAGTTTCCGTTTCTGACATTTACGACACGCATTACTTACTGTACTACTTTCACCTATTCACGAATCACACTTGTGTGCACCGTCAACCAACACACACACACCTACGTATCCGTAGTGTCGTCAGTGTTATATCTTTATTCTATACTTTTCCAACTACAGTGGCGTGGTAATTGGTGACCTATACTGTACTTGTGTTTGCAGGCTCGCAGCGCCAGCACAAGTAGCTTTAGAAGCCTGAGCCAGGTATATACCAAGATAATAATCCAGATCTAGTTGAGAGATTAGTCACTAGCTATTTAGCTAGATATAGTCAATCATTTATTACTTACTTGCTCATTTTTAGAAACCATAGATACCATTGTTCATGAGTAGAGGCGTAGAGCACGCGCATCTCGCTAAAAAAACGTTCGGCATTGATCTGCAGATTGTTTCATTGAAGAATCCCCGGTCCATCATCGCAGCCGATAATCGGATTGTGACGTCAAAACGAGATCGTCACAACGAATTCCCGGTCCCCTCGCGTCCCACTCGTCGCCTTGCGTCGGGGGGAGGGGGAGGGGGGCGCGCGCGGAGCGTGCAGGGCGAAATGTAATAATTTGTATGATTTGCCGCTCGCAACGTCACGATTCGGATGCGATTGCAAACGAGAGTAATGCTCGGTAATCCCCTTCGCAGAGCCGATCTGCTGCAACATTCGCTCGCCGATAAATAACATTCGAAGCGCGAGCGGATCGCCGACGAATCTTATTGTCGCTCGCGCGAAGATATGCCACGAGTTTCCATTCAGGATTTCCGCAATTCCACCACCCTCCTACGAACCGAACGTATCTCGGACGGATTTCCGGTATGGCGTTTACGATAACGTTTACGATGACGTAATCGGCTCGGCCACCAATTTCGATACCGTGCATACTGCGATCGCTCGATGACGACGTAATCCCGATCGTTTGATTGGACGGATTTTCGAAATAAAAAGCCAGACGAGGATAGCCCCCCGTAGTATCGCATGGCACGCATTTCCCTTCGGGGTTTTATTCGCTGACGAATAAATATGCAACCGCGCGAAAATGCATGCCCTGTGCCCCTCCCCCTCCCCTCCCCCCCCCTCCGTCTCGCTTCATCCTTTCCGCGAAGTTTCCGCGGGAAACGGAACAGTAAGTATATCACTCAGGGGAAAGTATATCACTCGGGACCACCGCAATTACACTAGAAATCCGCCCCGCGGGGAAAAAGGAGGAAAGAGAGAAAAAAAAAACGAAAAAAGGGAAGAGCTCGTCGGGGAAAACTTTGTGTGTCCTCGTTGCGGCACACGCGACGACACGAATACGTCGAGAAGCGACTCGCTAATGAGCGCATTTATGCGACGCGGCCTCGTCAGAAAACCGCAACATTTTTTCGACGCATCCCCCTCTCCCCCCCTCC